CATAGACACCAAACTGTTGACTCATTGCATTCAAACCACCTTCATAGACATTTAACTGTTGACTCATTGCATTCAAGTCACCTGCTATACTTGATGGACACCAGTCTGTTGACGCATGAAGGCTATACTTGATGGACACCAGCCTGTTGACACATGGAAGCTTGCTATGCATGATGGACACCAGTCTGTTGACACATGGAAGCTTGTGATACATGATGGACACCAGCCTGTTGACGAATGGAGGCTTGATATACTTGATGGACACCAGTCTGTTGACACATGCAAGCTTGGTTTACTTGATGGACACCAGTCTGTTTACACATGGAGGCTTGATGGACACCAGTCTGTTGACACATGGAGGCTAGCTAAACTTGATGGACACCAGTCTGTTGACACATGGAGGTCAGCTAAACTTGATGGACACCAAACTGTTGACACATTGAGGCTTGCTGAACTTGTTGGACACCAGCCTGTTGACACATGGAGGTCAGCTAAATTTGATGTACACCAGTCTGTTGATGCATGGAGGCTTGCTAAACTTGATGGACACCAAGCTGTTGACACATGGAGGCTTGTTGGACACCAACCTGTTGACACATTCAAGACTTACTAACCTTGATGACCCTCTTGACACATGGAAGTGTTGACTAATCATTTAAATTAAGATTTGATTAACATTGAACTGTTGAATCACTGCAGTTAAACAAGACTGATGGACACCTAACTGTTGACTCTTTGCATTCAAGCCACCTTCATAGACACACGAAACTGTTGACTCATTGCATTCAAGTCACCTTCATAGACACCAAACTGTTGACTCATTGCATTCAAGTCACCTTCATAGACACCAAACTGTTGACTCATTGCATTCAAACCACCTTCATAGACATTTAACTGTTGACTCATTGCATTCAAGTCACCTGCTATACTTGATGGACACCAGTCTGTTGGACGCATGAAGGCTATACTTGATGGACACCAGCCTGTTGACACATGGAAGCTTGCTATGCATGATGGACACCAGTCTGTTGACACATGGAAGCTTGTGATACATGATGGACACCAGCCTGTTGACGAATGGAGGCTTGATATACTTGATGGACACCAGTCTGTTGACACATGCAAGCTTGGTTTACTTGATGGACACCAGTCTGTTTACACATGGAGGCTTGATGGACACCAGTCTGTTGACACATGGAGGCTAGCTAAACTTGATGGACACCAGTCTGTTGACACATGGAGGTCAGCTAAACTTGATGGACACCAAACTGTTGACACATTGAGGCTTGCTGAACTTGTTGGACACCAGCCTGTTGACACATGGAGGTCAGCTAAATTTGATGTACACCAGTCTGTTGATGCATGGAGGCTTGCTAAACTTGATGGACACCAAGCTGTTGACACATGGAGGCTTGTTGGACACCAACCTGTTGACACATTCAAGACTTACTAACCTTGATGACCCTCTTGACACATGGAAGTGTTGACTAATCATTTAAATTAAGATTTGATTAACATTGAACTGTTGAATCACTGCAGTTAAACAAGACTGATGGACACCTAACTGTTGACTCTTTGCATTCAAGCCACCTTCATAGACACCAAACTGTTGACTCATTGCATTCAAGTCACCTTCATAGACACCAAACTGTTGACTCATTGCATTCAAGTCACCTTCATAGACACCAAACTGTTGACTCATTGCATTCAAGTCACCTTCATAGACACCAAACTGTTGACTCATTGCATTCAAGTCACCTTCATAGACACCAAACTGTTGACTCATTGCATTCAAACCGCCTTCATAGACACCAAACTGTTGACTCATTGCATTCAAGTCACCTTCATAGACACCTAACTGTTGACACATTGTATTCAAGCCACCTTCAAAGACACCAAACTGTTGACTCATTGCATTCAAGCCACATTCATAGAAGATTTGCTATGCTAGATGGACACTGAACTATAGGCCCAAATATTCGCTATGCTAGGCGGACACTGAACTATTCGAACCCGAAGGTTCGCTATGCTGGACGGACACTGAACTATTGGAACCCGAAGGTTCACTATGCTAGACGGACACTGAACTATTGGAATCGAAGTTCGCTATACTAGACGGACACTGAACTACTGGAACCCGAAGGTTCGCTGTGCTAGACAGACACTGAACTATTTGAACCCAAAGGTTTGCTATGCTAGATGGACACTGAACTATTTGAACCCGAAGGCTCGCTATGCGAGACGGACATTGAACTATTGGAACCCAAAGGTTCGCTATGCTGGATGGACACTCAACTATAGGAACCCGAAGGTTCGCTATGCTAGACGGACACTGAACTATTGGAACCCGAATGTACGCTATTCTTGACGGATACTCAACTATTGGATCCCGAAGGTTCGCTATGCTAGACGGACATTGAACTATTGGAACCTGAAGGTTGTTATGCTAGATAGACACTGAACTATTGGAACCCGAAGGTTTGCTATGCTAGATGGACACTGAACTATAGGACCGAAGGTTTGCTATGCTAGGCGGACACTGAACTATTGGAACCCGACGGTTTGCTATGCTAGACGGACACTGAACTATTGGAATCCGAAGGTTTGCTATGCTAGACAGACACTGAAGTATTGGAACCCGAAAGTTTGCTATGCTTGACCGACACTGAACTATTGGAACCCAAAGATTCGCTATGCTAGATGGACACTGACCTATTGGAATCCGAAGGTTCACTATGCTAGACGGACACTGAAGTATTGGAAACCGAAAGTTCGCTATGGTTGACGGACACTGAACTATTGGAACCTGAAGGTTCGCTATACTAGGCGGACACTGAATTATGGGAACCCAAAGGTTCACTATGTTAGACGGACACTGAACTATTGTAATCCGAATGTTCGCTATGCTTGACGGACACTGAACTACTGGAACCCGAAGGTTCGCTGTGCTAGACAGACACTGAACTATTGGAACCCGAATGTTCGCTATGCTAGACGGACACTGAACATTCTGAATATTAGTGTGGTATGTTGCCAGTGATGAGTTATAGAGAACTTAGAGTAACACACCCTGTTATCCCAGTTAGTATTTCAGTTTCAATTCAGTTGACATCACCCTGATTCAGTGATGATGTTCATAGAGCAAATAATTTGTCATAACTGTCCCCTTCACTGAATGCTTGCTGTTGAAGATACCTCACAAACAGTTTGTCATGGTATCTGTTTTCTTGCATAATGCATGCGTTTAAAATTTTCTTGTGCACATTTGATACTCCCTTCCTGTTCAGGGTTACAGTTTGGGGTAAAATTACTGTCTTGAGTGCGATGTGCCATCAAAAACTAAATGTTTTGCTTCTGATAAAGTCATTTACAAGCTTGGTAACGTCAAGGAGAATGTTAATGTCATTTAGTACTTTGTTGTTTTTCCCAGTATGCGAAGCATTTTTGGGGTATGTGGAAATTAATACCATTGTTTGATATTTTTTCTGAAAATAACTTCAATAATGCAGTCACCTAATATGTGTCTTGGTTCTCCGATTGATAGACATGATCACAGCTCCTGTTATTTTGGTCGTTATTATCAGAATGGCTAAGTCAACAATTGTTATTTACCAGGAATGACAGTTACTGCTATTACGCCATGTATTAAGGATAGAAATAAATCCTCAGTGAAGCACTTTGAAATGATTAAATGCAGCATATTGTCAATTTTTGTCTACCAAAGTCAACAGTCTGGAAGTGTTTGATGTACAGCTATATTGCAGGAGTTCCTCAAGGCTCAGTTTTTGGGCCCATTATTTTTTTGTTAAATGATGACTTTTGTAAATGATTTAGTTGATGATACCAAGCGTGAAAATACAATATTTATGTATGACACCTCTCTATATGTTTAATCACTGCCCCTATGTTATTGTTTACATATAATAAAAGACTTGCATATGACATCTAACTTGGCTAAAAGTCGAAAAATAAAGTTTAACTCAAGTAAAACAGAATCAGCTCAATATCAGTTTTAATGCTATGATTGTATGTGGATTAACCTTACAAAGAACCAAGAACTTCGTTTGGCTTCCGTCCATAAGTGGATGTAACCATGAGTGTGTATTTCACAATAACCTACAAAACAGAAATGGGCCACCCCAAAAATTCAGTTTTAAATTAAGTCCATACTTTGTAATATGGGCCTGACCTATCTTGTTTTTTCAGTGATAAAGACTCTGCAGATAGGAAATTCAAAATGATCTCCACACTTCATAATATTGAAAAGTATTTTTATTCCAAATATAATTATTATGCAGAAAGTATTTAAATATCAGTGCTGGCAGTGACCTTTAAATGTCTGTCATTGTTGATATTTAAGCTGTTGACTTCATGCCCAGGTGAGCTACATTTCTGTGGCACTAGTTTTAGTTCTTAAGCGATAATTCTGTGAACTCTTAATGTGAAATTGACTTAATCTAATTTACGTTTGGTCATGTCCATGGATGGCTGTGTGTGTATGTATGTGTAAAGTTTGATTTGTCTGTGTACATTTTACCTGCCTATTTCTACCAATTTTAAACTCATAAAGATAAATGAGCATACTTGAAGTTTCACATGTTTTTCACAAGTTTTATTTGATAAGACAGGCAGTGAATATATAGCAGTCACCGAGCATAGCTGACTACAGCTTTTGACCCTCAGCATTCTTTATGGATGAAACATTCGTTTTTGTTGTTTTAACCAAAGACAACAAATGTGTTACTTACTTTATAAGACAGGCAGTGAATATCGCAGTAACTGGGCATAGCTGACTACAGCTACGTGTCTCAACATTCTTCATGGATGGAAACATTTGTTGTTTTAACCAAAGACAACAAAATTGTCACCTATTTCATAAGCAAACAGGTTACATTATGATTCTCAACAATATTACATGTGGAATTCTCAAAAGACTACATCACTTTAATTGTCGTTTTGGTGAAATTGATGGCGCTTGGCATTCATCTTTCTGCTTGAAGAATCGGAAATACCAACTGTTGAAACCTTTGACAACAACTCTGGAACAGCACAAGGGCAGGTTCAAAACATAGATCCAAGTGTAAGTGTGCACATGCTGGGACAGAGAGGGAAATTACAAGTAGGACCAAGTAATCTAGCTGTTACTGTCAGCAGCAAAAGAAAAGGTACATGAAATGATTTCTTAAGGTTTATTTGTCTTGTCCTTCACTTATATATAATTTAGAATCAAATATTAGCTCACTTGATCAACTTGTATCTTTGTTAGATATCAGGGAATTGTGTTACATTTTACATGTGAAGTACAGAGCTATCATAAGATGGCACTGGTCACATTGTTTTAAAATCAGATCTTGGTTATCACCACTGCTATGCACAGGTCTGATGATGGGTTAGATCAGATCGACCTTTCATCCAACCAATCAGAGCATTGCTAATCAGATTGGGAAAGTGACTGCTGGAATGTGTTTTGAAATCATGTAACCTGGATAGAGGTTCATGAAAGATCAGGACAGACGTTTGAGTTGTGATAACAGTAAAATCTGAGTTCACTAGTGATGAATACAGATACTTTCCTTTCCCTCCGGATGTTCATGCTTTATTCCATGATAGGAATCTCTGATTCCGAGGGATTAAACTGTTTGATTTTCTGTCATGTTAACATTAGATTTTTTACTCTGATATCACTCTGTGTGAAGAACTGAGGACTTTACCTTGAATATTCGGATTGGCAAATCAAATTTATGGCTTCTTTAGAAATTGATTCGATAGAGTGAGGCACTGAGACAGGCTGATCTAGTTCTAAATGCAGGTTGGTTTGTGAGATTCAGATGCTTATGAAGACATGTATCTGTGTAAAATATTTGATTTTAGATTTATTGTGTGTTATATTCAGGAGCAGGTAGAGAGAGCCCCACAAGTCAGACACAGACGGGTCTGCCGTTGAATGTTGAAGCTGTCCAGGAGCAGAGTGCATCAGGTACAAATGTCAGAACAACTCATTTGATGAGAATACCTAGCAGAACAGTGTTCTTGTTATAGTAGACAATGAACAGGTAACAGGGTTGTCAATGATCACGGCAGTTTGTAGAAAGCACACACTGTTCTCGGTGAGATGCTTAGATTATATTTTTCTGTCATGAGTGTAAATGTTTACATTGCTCCAAAAGTAAATTGCTCTGCTAGATGACAAGACAAAAGACTAATGTAATTTCATTATGTAGTTAGCTGCAAAAGAACCTGAAAACCTTGGTGTTTGGGGGTTGGAAATATTTTGCCTATGAACAAACCAAGGTATATTGCAAATTCTGTCTTGGGATACGCTGTGTGGATGCACAAACAAGCTGGCACATTTGCAAGAAGGTACACTTGCATAACTTCCTATCATTATATTCCTATTTTAGAGACCTTTAAATACCCATTGTATTCCAAACTATGGTGTTTCTATTGTGTTTGGAGGTCCTGTATGTTCATTTGAGGACAAGTCTAATCTACCTGCATGATCTGGAAGCAGTTGTTAGAGTTTATGTTCATGACACATATGTTCAGGACCCTGACTTGTTATGAGATCAGAGAATACTGACCATGTGATGTTTCTGTGACAGATAAATCTGGGGATGATTTGTATGGAGCAATACACCTGGCACCAGAAGGATCTTATGAGACCTACAATAGCCTGGATCTGAGAGCACAAACCCACAGGAAACAGACTGCCAGAACTGGCGATGAAGCCGAGGGAGATATTTGGGGAACAACAGGCAGTGTAGCTCAACACACAAGTTTTCCTGTACCCAAAGACGAGAAACAGCTTTCTGGGAATCCCTCACGGTTTAAGATGTCAGATTCTCACTATATACCAAAGAGGCAAGATGATGATAAATCTGGACATTTTGTGACTCAAGCAATGTCTTCTGAGATGAAAACTGTCCCAACTATGTATGCTGAGAGGGCAACACAAACAGAAGGTTATGTTGCTGGTGATGAAAGCGGAATCCACTTCCAAGAAGTTCGCGGAAACTATGTGCAGTGTGGCTCAAACAACAATATTGTCAATATAGAAGTAAATAAGAACTTTTTTCCCACTGCAAAGGGTGGTGTACTTACAGGTAGGGTGCCAGTTTATGTCTGTGATATTTTGAAAATCCTGGTTGTAGCTAATGTTCTATATCTGTTCTTGTTCATTTGTTCATCAATATCACCCTTTAATATGTAGGATCTTTTTTTCTTAACAGTGAGTGATTCCACTAAACCACTGGTTAGCTTCACATGGAAAGGAAACGATGGAAAGGTGAATGAGGAAGTTAACAGTGTGAAGTCCTTGTGGACACTACAGTTGGAGGAACTGTTCCAGAGCATGTATGGGGAAGTACTGTCCCACATGTCATACAGCCTCTTTTCTCCTCTGAGGAAAATAATTGTGGACATTTTCAAGAAGTATGATGCCAGACTTACTTCAGTTTGCAGTGGGTCTCTGCTGTTTGTGTTCCAACATGCTGATGAGGAGTCTGCACAGAGAATGGTTGCAGACAAGGAGGTTGTGCGAGAGATGTTCCACCAGCTGCTGTTGGGGATGGGAAAGGGGGAAATAGAGTTCACGCTGGAGGCAGCTGTAAATACAGGTGACTGTATGGAGGTTGAAACAGGTGGAAATGTAGGTGGTGATGAAGATGTTGATACTGATCCTCTGGCAAGTTTCCCTCTCGACTTTGAACCTCTGATGCGGACACTGAAGTCAAGCATGTGAGTACTAGCCATTCAAGTTCTAGTCCTGTTCAAAATGGATCTTTTGTTTGTCAGCTCAAAAGAATGTTCAATTAATAGTGAGGTTGTTGAGTGTGACACCCAGAGACTGGCTACCATCTGTAAGGACTGCAAAAATTCACTTAGAGACAATGTCTGAATGGTGATTGGCCCTGTGAAGATTATGCAAGATTATGGATTCTGATTATGTTGATGATGAGATGAATGTGACTGAATTAGATCTCATTGCAGTAGTTCCTACATTGATTTTTGCTTGTACCTATCACTTTGTAAACACTTATAAAACTAAACTTGCCACATGTTTACATTGCATGGTTACGTCATGCTCAGAAATAAGCTTCTTTCTGACAGCTGAAATACAGAGCAAGCAATCAATCTGGATGTGAATGTACATCTATGTATACAGGTAGCATACAACTATACATATGAGGCAGGGTGCAATTTCACTATTTACAACCTGCACTGGTACATGTTAACAATGACTGGTGCAGGTTACCTTCAGTAACAAGTTGCAGCCGGTGCAGGTAACAATAAATCCTCCATCTTATAGCTGTCATTATGTGTTTTAAATGGGAAGTAAGTGACTGGAAGTAATATGTTTCTCTCCACGTGACTTGTTACAGCATGAAAAGTTGTGTATTGACAAATCAGTTATTAAGCAATAATCATATAATTCAGACTCATAAATAAAGGTAATGCAGAATTGAATCATTCATCATTTATCATCATGGGGTCAGGTTCTGTTGAATGTATCTGATACTGAGTACTTGTTATGAAAATTGCAAAACAAGTATTTATGTTACTTTTTAGAACCAGTGACACTATTTTATGGTGCAACCAAAATTTTGATGGTGCAGCCAAACCTATAAGCCAGTTTGCACTTGGTGCAGGTGCTGAAAAACACACCTGCAACTGCACCCTGTTAGGTAATAGGCAAATGTATCTTTGTATATCCCCTCAGTAAGATACGTGAGAAATATTGATAAGGCACTTGCATGGTATTCAGTGGTTATATTTAGACTTTATTGTAACCCTAACTAATGATTTCACCTGAACGTTGCTTATCAAATATCTGTCCATCAAGTTTATTATAATAACAACTTTGAAGTTCAATTTCATTTCCAAGTGACTGAAAATGTTAAGATTGAAACAAAGTGGAAGCCAATCTGTTTTTTTTTTATATGTTGGCTTCTAATCCTTGGATATATAGTTGAATTATTTACACACGCATAAAATGTCTTTTTTCAGCTGAGCTAACACACATGACAAATATTGTCATGTTGGCAGTTGCTCTTTCATAAATCATTTAGGTAAATGGCAATGAGCAAACAATCAATGTATAATCAGCTGCTGATTTTAGGAACTCAACTGATAATTCCTCTCGCTGTATTTCCACGTGTATATTACATCCAATAACATTAACCACCTCAGATCTGAATTATGTTTGTGATAAATTCTGTAACTGCACGTCAAGTAAATGAGGCCAAATAATAAAAATGTTGTGATTCTGATTACACCTCTTTAATATTTAGGGTAGGTAGGAAATTTTTTTTTACATATTTTTAGAAGGAAAGTACAAGCTAATAACACATGTATCAATGTGTAATTGTTTATTCAATCAAGCTTGCAGCCATCATATCGACTTTCTCTATCGGAATGACCAATATCTGTCGACGCTGGTAAAACACAATGGTATCTGAAAGCTTGTTTTATTCAGTCCGCTTAAATAAAATAGGGTCGGCACCAGAATTCAAGGGTCGGTCGGGTAATCGGAACCACAACATTTTTATTTTAGGCCTGATGACAAATAAACAGGTGTAGGTTTATACCACCAAACATGGTTGACAACAATAAAGTAGTTATTGTTGTATTGTATACAATTTAGTTGCCAGAAAAACTGGGTCTTTGCTATTTCGAGAATGTGAAAAGAACTTGTTGCAAAAATAATACATGCATACATATATTTGCTGTTTACTGAAGTAAATATTTGTACTTACATACAGTCAAATCCCGATGAGTCGAATGCCGGTGTCTCGAATATTATGCATAACTCGAAGTACCTGTCGGTCCCGACCATTCCCTGTTATAGTTGTCATCATTTGAATACCGGTTACACGAATTCATCTCATAAATACACACGATGACTCGAGAAGGAAATTTGGTCCCATGAGATTCAAACAACAGCAATCTTGTATACATAAGCCGAAGTCAGTCATTGAGAAGTTGATTGGTGTAGCAAACTGATCCAATTAACAAACCAGCGCGTTCACACACCTTCCCGCCATTGACGGGTGAGTTCAAAAGGCAGATTAGTGATTTTACGGAAATCACTGTCTGTGCTAATCAGACTGGAACTGATAAGGTGCCCCTATTAGTGATATGGAAATCATTAGATAAACAAATGCTTAGGCGGAGGAATTAGGACTGGATCATCTTTTTTTCTACCCTCATAGACATACCTATGTCTCGAATACATCGATAAGTCGAATTTATTACTTGGTCCCCAGCGATTCGACTCATCGGGATTTGACTGTATTTACCTAATTGGATCATTTTCATGAGAGCAATGGCAAAATTGGGTTTTAGTTTACAGCCTTAAATAAATCAAATGTATATTTTTAATGTGCTAGGTTAGTGGACATGACATTATTACATGATGTGATCAAATATCAAGCTACACAAATATAAAACACAGAAAATGTGATGGAGTCAATTCTCAGTCATAACACCATCCATGCATCAGAAATCTGAAAATGCTTGCACTTTTTTAATATTGGACCATAACCGTCAGGGATATTTGTACATAACAGCTTCCCAGGGCTTGAAAATTCATTTTTGTCTTCTTGTATAGGCTGAATAAATTAATTAACAAACACCCTTTGATATACAGAAATCGTCAAAGTTCAGGGGGAACATTCTTGTTTAGAAATGCGTAGAAAGTTTGTCAATTGTCAGTCTCAGTTTCTTTAGCCAGTAAACTGTCTGACAGTAACTGATGAGTCCATGGTGTCAGTATTAAACAAGTTTTGACAAGTGTTTAATAGAAGAGTAAGGACATTTGTTATGGATCTTCTGTGCAGGCAACATTTCGACATCATATTCTAATGTCGTTGTCAAGCTAGTCTATGTCGAAACGTCTCTTACACAGAATAAAGAAGTTGTATAGCCAGAAAAATTGTCCTCATTCTTCATCTCCTCAACTTTTAGACTGCCAATCAAAGAAGTATCAAATGTGAAATGAGAAGGCCTAAACCACAGGCTACAAACAAATTACATTGTAAAAGAAAATCAACAACAGCATGAACAGGATTAACTCTGGGCACACTCTACCAATCGGTGCAATCTAATTAAGGCTGTACCATTATGGATGTGGGTCTTGTCTTAATTAATACCCTTCTCCGCTGTCTAAAAATTGTCTGTCTAATGGGAGATAACTGACAGAACAGATGAAGCTGTAGATCCGTGCCCTTTAAATCGGGCAGACACAGCTTTTGAGGTACACTTATAAACCCGTGAAGATTCGGGTCAGAATTGGTTGTCATCAACCCATGCTTGTCTCCCCCGTGAAGATCCGTGTTAGAATTGTTCTTCTGTAACCAGACCGCCTCTGTGGTGTAGTGGTTAGAGCGGAAGGTCGCGGTTCGATCCCCGACCGCGTCATACCAAAAGACATTAAAATATGGTACTTGTTGGTCCCTGCCTGGCGCTCGGCATTAATGGGTACAACAAGGACTGGTCGGCTCGGAGTCAGTATAATGTGTCTGAGTGGGGTATTCATGCTTCACTGTGGCATGGTATCTCAGTGGGCTAGCACTATAAAACCAGCTTAAGTCTGGGCTAGTACAAGCAGCCGCACATACACATACACACGCATGCACGTCGTCATATGAGCGAAATATTCTCAAGCACGACTTAAAAACCCAATTTCACCTCTTCTGTAACCCATGCTTGTTGTAAGAGGCGACTAACGGGATCAGGTAGTCAGGCTCATCGGCTTGGTTGACACGTGTCATCGTATCCCAGTTGCGTAGATCAATGCTCATGCTGTTGATCACTGGATTGTCTGGTCCAGACTTGATTATACTCAACCGCCGTCATATAGCTGGAATATTGCTGAGTGCGATGTAAAACTAAACTCACTCACTCACACTCATAAGTTGCCTTTTTTTGAGCTCACCTAAACATGTGGTTCAAGGCTATTTGTACCATGGCACAAAAACATGTCCTTCATGTTTTGTGCTTTATATTATATATACTGTGATATGTATGTTTGCTGCAGTAAGTGAATTCCAGACTTGGTGATGTTTGATTTATTCATTCAAAAGTGTCAATATAACAACGACATCTAGTTGAGACTTGAGTTTGTTTCTTGTCCGGTACCACTGACAGACAATATGGATGACATTTTCCGCGATTAGATGTCCATAATTATAGTCAACAGGTATTCTGTTCCCCTTCCATGTCACATGTGTCTGACTTCCACTGAACATTCAGTATGCATAATACAGATGACTAATACAAGAGGCGGGGTGGGGGTAGCCGAGTGGTTAAAGAGTTTGCTCGTCATGCCGAAGACCCGGGATGAATTCCCCACATGGGTACATAATGTCTAAAGCCTATTTCTGGTGTTCCCCACTGTGATATTGTTGGAATATTGCTAAAGGCGGTGTAAAACTACTTACTACTCACTCACTTACTTATACAAGAATATTAGTTTTTTTAGCCCCAACTTTTTATTTTGATGCCATTTAAGTCATCTGTGAATTAAGTGCTCACACAGAGATTGTATCATCTGAGATGAAATATTTGAAATGCTTTTTACAAACTTCAGATCGAAATTGACTGTAGCATGCTTGTTGGTGTATTGGCTTATGAAAGTTGCTTGCTTAGAAATAGTTTTGGCTGATCCACCTATAGTGTGACTTTTGAGAGACCGTTATAACATTGTACTTGTTACATTTGCCCCCTAACAACTGCATGTTCAACAGCTTACTGGAACCATCCATTTAATTTTCGACATGGACATCATCGGACTGATAAAGAGTTCTGACTCTGTTCGTTTTTATTTTTTCAAGCCAACAAAAATCGGATGAGGATGCTTCCAAGAGAACCAAAGGTTTGTGTCCTCTTTATGACTGATGAGTGTGGTGACAAAACAGAAAACACACACATGACAACCCGTGAATATCCTGGTTAGAACTGGTCTTCAGCAACCCATGCTTGTTGTAAGAGGGCACTAACGGGATCAGGTGGTCAGGCTCCCTGACTTGGTTGATACATGTCATCATACCCCAATTGTGTAGATCGATGCTCATGCTGTTGATCACTGGATTGTCTGGTCCAGACTTGACTTATTTACAGACCTCCGCCATATAGCTGGAATATTGCTGAGGGTGGCGTTAAACACCAACCGACCACAGATGTAGAGTTGAAGGTGTCTGGAGTTTTTGTATCATTTTAAGATTATTATTAACCCACTTGTCATCTGGGGATGACTATTACTTGGGCCAGAGTGGGAATTATCTCGATGTATTCCAGCAAGGTAAGTAGCCCTAAGAAGAAATTTGTACTAATACCCTATTTGCAGAGTTCATTTCAGAACACTGAGAAATTAGTTTCACACTCAGTATTTATAGCATGAACATTATTCTAAATAGAGTTCATGCACATTTTGGAAATTCATATTGGGTTGGTTATATGCAGCCCCATGAGATTGGAGTGCCTTGATATTTTGTCAGAACTGTTGCATTGGAAGCCTACCTGTCACAGTCACGGTGTTTGTGACTGGGAGTCAGCTATTTGTGAGGTGCTACGTTCAGGCTACTGTTGCTGATGACATTAGTGGCTAGAGCATGAAGTGTAAGGCACATGACTGATGAAATGGAATATTTGTTAAACTTAAAAGAGGAAAGACAACCTATTACCACTCCACTAGAATGGCAGGTAACTTGACATAGATAGGAAATATTTATGTCCTGGATCCTTCAAACGTTTCCTCAAAATACCTCTTTAGTCAGGATGAATGTCTTGTGCAAATACAGACTCTGCAAAATCACTGATCAAAATTACGGATCGAGATTCACTTTATCAGTTGAAAGATTATGTTTAGCAATATTTTCAACTTTGATTTTTACATTTATAAATTCTCTGATCATGAGTACAACATATTAATAAACCCACCATGCCTGAAGATGTATGTTTTGTTTGGGATAATGAGCATATATGCTGCTAAGCAGGTTGACTTCAGGATAATGAACCCACAAACTGCTAAGCTGGTTGACTTCAGGATAATGAGCATGTATACTGATAAGCTGGTTGACTTCAGGATAATGAGCATGTATACTGATAAGCTGGTTGACTTCAGGATAATGAGCATGTATACTGATAAGCTGGTTGACTTCAGGATAATGAGCATGTATACTGATAAGCAGATGGAGTTCAGGATAATGAGCATGTATACTGATAAGCTGGTTGACTTCAGGATAATGAGCATGTATACTGATAAGCAGATGGAGTTCAGGATAATGAGCATGTATACTGATAAGCTGGTTGACTTCAGGATAATGAGCATGTATACTGATAAGCAGATGGAGTTCAGGATAATGAGCATGTATACTGATAAGCTGGTTGACTTCAGGATAATGAGCATGTATACTGATAAGCTGGTTGACTTCAGGATAATGAGCATGTATACTGATAAGCTGGTTGACTTCAGGATAATGAGCATGTATACTGATAAGCTGGTTGACTTCAGGATAATGAGCATGTATACTGATAAGCTGGTTGACTTCAGGATAATGAGCATGTATACTGATAAGCTGGTTGACTTCAGGATAATGAGCATGTATACTGATAAGCTGGTTGACTTCAGGATAATGAGCATGTATACTGATAAGCTGGTTGACTTCAGGATAATGAGCATGTATACTGATAAGCTGGTTGACTTCAGGATAATGAGCATGTATACTGATAAGCAGGTGGACTTCAGGATAATGAGCATGTATACTGATAAGCAGATGGAGTTCAGGATAATGAGCATGTATACTGATAAGCTGGTTGACTTCAGGATAATGAGCATGTATACTGATAAGCAGATGGACTTCAGGATAATGAAGCATGTACAACTGATAAGCTGGTTGACTTCAGGATAATGAGCATGTATACTGATAAGCTGGTTGACTTCAGGATAATGAGCATGTATACTGATAAGCAGGTGGAGTTCAGGATAATGAGCATGTATACTGATAAGCTGGTTGACTTCAGGATAATGAGCATGTATACTGATAAGCTGGTTGACTTCAGGATAATGAGCATGTATACTGATAAGCTGGTTGACTTCAGGATAATGAGCATGTATACTGATAAGCAGATGGAGTTCAGGATAATGAGCATGTATACTGATAAGCTGGTTGACTTCAGGATAATGAGCATGTATACTGATAAGCTGGTTGACTTCAGGATAATGAGCATGTATACTGATAAGCAGGTGGACTTCAGGATAATGAGCATGTATACTGATAAGCAGATGGAGTTCAGGATAATGAGCATGTATACTGATAAGCTGGTTGACTTCAGGATAATGAGCATGTATACTGATAAGCAGATGGAGTTCAGGATAATGAGCATGTATACTGATAAGCTGGTTGACTTCAGGATAATGTATACTGATATGTATACTGATAAGCTGGTTGACTTCAGGATAATGAGCATGTATACTGATAAGCTGGTTGACTGGATAATGAGCATGTATACTGATAAGCTTTCAGGATAATGAGCATGTATACTGATAAGCAGATGGAGTTCAGGATAATGAGCATGTATACTGATAAGCTGGTTGACTTCAGGATAATGAGCATGTATACTGATAAGCTGGTTGACTTCAGGATAATGAGCATGTATACTGATAAGCTGGTTGACTTCAGGATAATGAGCATGTATACTGATAAGCAGATGGAGTTCAGGATAATGAGCATGTATACTGATAAGCTGGTTGACTTCAGGATAATGAGCATGTATACTGATAAGCAGATGGAGTTCAGGATAAAGAACCCACAAGCTGCTAAGCTGGTTGACTTCAGGTTAATGAGCATGTATACTGATAAGCAGATGTACTTCAGGAAAGTGAGCATGCATGGTAATACGTGGTTTTGAATAACGCTTATTACATGTAGCATGCCTGAAATGTCAGGTAATCCTGAATGATCATTAGTTCTGCTGAAAAGGGATTTTTTAGTTCTAAAGATTGTAAATGCTTGAAGACATTTCTCACTAGAATCCCTCTACCTGGAACTCTCCTGTAGGTACTCTGTAAAACCTAAACTTGTTCCATATTGTACTTCTGTACATGCGAGACATGTTACACTTGTACAGTCAAGCTAGTGGAAGAAGCAAGGGCATTAAGTAATTAGTGGAAACTCAGGGAAAATAAGTAACTCATAAAGGATTAGAGATAGTTGAGTTAAGTTTGCTTGAAACACTTTAATCATTTACTTCCATGAAGCCATGCAATGACAATGTATTGATATTTTTACCCAAACCTAAACTGATAGTCACTGTAATTTTGTTGCTTCTTGGCAGAGCTGAAGGAGATGCAAGAACGTCTGCAGTCAATGGAGACCATTTTTGAAAGGATGCAACATAGTATGAATGAACACATGGACAGTACTCGTAGTGACATGGACAGAGGCAGGAAGGAGATCAGTGAGTTCACACAAACTGTGCTGGAGACTGTGCTGAAGAAGAAGGAGCAAGATCAGCCCTCAACAGGAGAACAAACCCCAGCCATCTCACCTGGTGTCTCACGGGTTCTGGCACCACTGATGGACCCTAAAAATCTTACTTCAGCTGAAATTTATACCCAAATGGAGCCAATGGTTTTACAGGCACTAAGATGTGATCCTTCATGCACAACTAAGCAAACGGATAAGCCATTACCTGCAACTGAACGCAATGAATCCCCACAAATGGCATCCACAAGAACAACATCCCCAGAAATGTTGGTTGATTCATTATCTGTATTAAATGATGGTGTACAAGTGCTTTTTATCACCCTCATCATAAAATTGAGGGCGATATAGCTGTCACCTCATCTGTCCACCTGTCTGTCTGTCCATACATCATATCATTTCAGAAAAGGAAACTCTAAAACTATTCAATATTATTTTTAAATGTTTGGCTGTTGTATCAAACAGATCCTGAAATGGTTCTGTTCCCTATTTACAGATTTGCTGCATTATTTTATGATGTTTCCATAGAATCAAGTTGAAATGGACGTACCTAGTGTCATTTCCAAGGCAGAACTAAAACCTTTTCAGTATGTTTTATCCAAACTCAGGATGCAGGTGCTCGTGCATGAGGCAAATCACTTAGTCCAAAGCATAGGTGTATTAACAGTGAATGATTCTTCAATTTGTTGACACACTGAGATGTTTTACATTGTTGCACAATATGGCATGCAACAATGCATACAAATATTTCATTCACAGTTGTAATATTCTTTTATTGCTCAGGCTCTGGGTTCTTTTCTGAAGATGGCTAGTATCATAAAATATTGTTATATATATTTGGTCACTGTTCAGATATCTGAGTAAGTTCTTGTTGCTCTTGTTACCATTTTAGATCCTACATATAAGTAGCTAATATGTGTATGTTTTGATTGATATTGTAAAGGAGACATGTTATGTTCCCTGCTTTATTTGTTTTCATCAGTGATGAGGAAGTACCAAAGCCCCAAGGTGAACAGGAACATGTTTTAAGACATGGTCCAACTGGAGATTCGTCTGGCAGCGATGCACACTTCATTCCTTCAAAGACTGAACATCTGAGGTATGGCTGCTGCATCTATACTGTCACTCTGGAATGTTATTTCAACTCATTAACTGGTCCAGCAGCATACTGTCACTGTCGAATGTTATTTCAACTCATTAACTGGTCCAGCAATATACTGTCACTTTGGAATGTTATTTCAACTCATTAACTGGTCCAGCAGTATACTGTAACTGTGGAATGTTATTTCAGCTCATTAACTGGTCCAGCAGTATACTGTCACCATGGAATGTTATTTCAGCTCATTAACTGGTCCAGCAGTATACTGTCACAGTGGAATGTTATTCAAGCTCTTTAACTGGTCCAGCAATATACTGTCACTTTGGAATGTTATTTCAACTCATTAACTGGTCCAGCAGTATACTGTCACTGTGGAATGTTATTTCAACTCATTAACTGGTCCAGCAGTTTACTGTCACTGTGGAATGTTATTTCAACTCATTAACGGGTCCAGCAGTATACTGTCACTTTGGAATGTTATTTCAACTCATTAACTGGTCCAGCAGTATACTGTCACTTTGGAATGTTATTTCAACTCATTAACTGGTCCAGCAGTATACTGTCACTATAGAATGTTATTTCAACTCATTAACTGGTCCAGCAGTATACTGTCACCATGGAATGTTATTTCAACTCATTAACTGGTCAAGCAGTATACTGTCACTTTGGAATGTTATTTCAACTCATTAACTGGTCCAGCAGTTTACTGTCACTTTGGAATGTTATTTCAACTCATAAACTGGTCCAGCAGTATACTGTCACTATAGAATGTTATTTCAACTCATTAACGGGTCCAGCAGTATACTGTCACTTTGGAATGTTATTTCAACTCATTAACTGGTCCAGCAGTATACTGTCACTTTGGAATGTTATTTCAACTCATTAACGGGTCCAGCAGTATACTGTCACTATAGAATGTTATTTCAACTCATTAACGGGTCCAGCAGTATACTGTCACCGGAATGTTATTTCAACTCATTAACTGGTCCAGCAGTATACTGTCACTGTGGAATGTTATTTCAACTCAATAACTGGTCCAGCAGTATACTGTCACTATAGAATGTTATTTCAACTCATTAACTGGTCCAGCAGTATACTGTCACTATAGAATGTTATTTCAACTCATTAACTGGTTCGGGGATGGTGGGGTAGCCAAATTGATCAAGCATTGGCTCATCACCGAAGACCTGGGTTCAATTCCTCATATGGGCACAATGTGTGAAGCCCATTTCTGGTGTACGCCGCCTTGATATTGCTGGAATATTGCTAAAAGCGGCATAAAACCATACTCACTCACTCACTCATTAACTGGTCAAGCAGTATACTGTCACTTTGGAATGTTATTTCAATTCATTAACTGGTCCAGCAGTATACTGTCACTGTGGAATGTTATTTCAACTCATTAACTGGTCCAGCAATATACTGTCACTTTGGAATGTTATTTCAGCTCATTAACTGGTCCAGCAGAATACTGTCACCATGGAATGTTATTTCAACTCATTAACTGGTCCAGCAGTATACTGTCACTGTGGAATGTTATTTCAACTCATTAACTGGTCCAACAGTACAGGAATATAATGCATTTTATGTGATGATTTAGCCACAAATGTGTTGTCAGTTTACGCAGGATTCTAAATAAATCCTTTTTAGAATTATACAAATTTTCTTCACAGTCCTGAACATCAAATAGAATCTGTCAAGGAGGGCAAAGACACTCCTTCAAAACGTGAGTAAATGTCACAATTATTTATTTAAAGGCACTTTAATATTTTAACAGTATAAATGATAGGTTGTAAGAAGGTAAGTCAGTGACTCCTTTTTCTAAATTGTGTACCCATGTAAATCCATAATTTATATGTTGAAAAAATGAATACGCATGTGAAGTCTGGGACGGGTGTACTCTTGAACAAATACGTCAGCTAGAACAGATTCAAATTCAAGCAGCGAGAATAGGTACCGGTTTACCAAAATATACACCACGTGAATTTTTTTATTTTTAAAACTGGATGGGAAACATTACAAGATCGTCGTAAAAAACGAAAACTATGTTTGATGTATAAAATTCAAAATGAAATGGCTCCTCCATATCTAAAAGAACTGCTTCTCTTGAATGTTGGTTCTAAATCAAAGTATAATCTACACTGTTCTCTAAATATATCGATTCCTATTCCAAGACTTAACCATTCAAAAGAATCCTTCTTTCCATCTACAATATGCTCTTGGAACAATTTACCAACCACCATTCGTAATTCAAAAAGTGTTTCAACTTTTAAGTCATGTATAACTGATAACCATACATATGCACCTCAGTATTATTCGTGTGGTAAAAGAAAATTAAATATTATTGATACCAAGTTACGTTATTCTGTAAGTTGTTTGAACTTTGATTTGTACAGAGTTGGATTGAAAACTGATCCTATTTGTATATTGTTGTGGTGATTTTATTGAGAACTCGTATCATTATCTGTTTGAATGTCCATTGTACAAACAACAAAGAGTTAACTTCATGTTATCTGTTAAGCGCATTTGTTCATTAAACTTTTGTTAGAGGGAGGTGCATACCTATCATCATGTGAAAATACAAATGTATTCAAGTTAGTGCAATCGAACAATTTGTATAGCATATTGATATCATTCTGTATAAGCTCTATCTCTTTTCATTTAAATTATACTTTCTTGTCCACTATCTGTCATCTTTATTTGCGGGAATCTAAATTACCTATGTACATACCAAGGAGAGGGTATTCGAAGTTGGAGAACTTGTTCCTAATCCTTTTCTCTGTGAATAAAATATGTTTAAAACAAACCAAAGGTGAATGTATTAAGAAGTTCATTCATCTGTCATGTACCTTGACACTAATGACATCTAATGGTCCAGCAGAAGTGTATGAAGATGCTGAGAAGCTGCTGACTTCCCTGAATGTAGGACTGAGCTCAAGTCCAGAAGTCCGGCGCCTCACTGACGCTGTAGTTGCAGCCCTGGTGGATGGTAGGTGATGTCTTAGACTGATGCATATGCATATCACATAATCAAGTTATGTCTCCAGTGGATTGTTTCTCATTTCTGACTTAGGAATGCATGAATTCTACACAACGACACATGTTCTATATCTGGTGATATAGAAATAGTGATTAATGTATGTAATTCATCTGATTATTCTCTTCAGTAAAGACCTTTTAATAGTGTGATGACATTTTCAATATTTGTTAAATATTGTTTGTTTAATAACACCTATGTTTCTTCAGCTCACTTCTTCTTTAACTGTTTCATCAAACTGTTACTGAAGTGTCATGAAGTGTGCTCTCACGTCTGTGTTAATGTTGGTTTTCAGAAGTTAACTAAATAGATGTTACTAAACGACCTTCCGTGTAATACCATTTATAAACAAGTTAATGATTTGGTAAGCAAGTTTGATATTAAATCTTTCAAGAGTTTAATATAAATGGTATTTCATGGAAGTGAATTTAGTATTCTGTTCATTACTCTCCAACATCAATTGATAGAAACTGCCTACAGTGTGGGGCTGTGGGGTAGCCTAGTGGTTAAAGCGTTGGCTCGTCATGCGGAAGGCCTGGGTTCGATTCCCCACATGGGCACAATGTGTTAAGCCCATTTCTGGTGTCCCCAGCCGTGATATTGCTGGAAAATTGCTAAAAGCAGCGTAAAACTAAACTCAGTCAGTCAGCCTACAGTGTGATGATGATGTGTGATGTGACAGCGGTATTAGCATTGTGACGTCATAACTATAAACCATTATGACGTCATAATTACACTAGTGTAATATTGCCGTAAGAATATCTTCTACGGGCAAGTAATACGCACTTGAAAATCAATGCATCAGTTGTTTATATGATTCAAAATGTGACATGTGCTAAACAGCTTTTTTGACTTAGCAGATATATGACTGATAATGAATTAAATGCACTATTGTTTGAGTGAGGTTTATTGACATCTGCAGCAGTATTGAGGTCACAGTGTCTCACCATGTTGACGGGTAACTGGAAACAGACATGGGTTCTTTTTGCCTAAACTCGTGTGTCAGAAATATTTGAGAAATACACATTCAGATGTTCATTCAGTCATTCTGTTAATGCCCAATCCAGTGTGGTTTCAGAGGTTTCAGCTTTGATTTGAGGTGAGACCAACTTAAATTTCACTTTTTGTGGGTTGTTTTATACTTGTTATTGATTACATGTAAAAAGACAGGACATATGAATCATGTTGCTCTCTCTCTAGATGTTCCACCACCACCAAGAGCAAAGAGCATGGACACTGTGTTATGCCTGGATGTGTCAGACAGCATTGGGCTGCAAGGCCTAGAGGAAGTCAAGGAGATTGCCAACAACTTTGTAGATGGTTAATATATATATGGATGGATGGATATATGCATGGAATTTATTCTGTCACTGCATTCTTTAATAACAGCATTTGTACAGTTTTTGTACTCTGATATGAAATACCACAGTCCAGAATGTGTTCGCCCTGATGCAACACTGGAACATGGGGAATCCAAAACTTTGCAATCTGACTTAGCAGATGTGCCACCCAAATAGTATTCATTCAAACTGTGTCCTAAAGATTTAGATAAGAAACAATTATTTTTTTCATTGCAATTTTACTGCAGATACATATTCCTGTAATTATTTAGGTCTTTTCCATTTAAATTAAAAATGCTAATAGGCAAAATAGACTTAATTCACTTTTAGCACATTAATTTTCTGTCAGGTATGAAAGCCAGCTTAAAACTAGCTGAAAATCTGTTTGATTGTTTTAGGGGCAAAACCCAGATCACAAATGTTATTAGTTTTAAATGAAATCAACAATGACTCAAAAATTCAAAACTATATTATGTTAATATACATGCTGTTGGACTACTCATAGCTTTTCCTGAAAACTTCTGTTCAAACACATTACTCAAATCAAAAGCATAATTGTAATCAATTATTGGATTTTTATCGTTTTGGTTTCAGTTGAATTTTGGGTATGCTTAATAATTATATATAATTTCACCTGTGGCCAGACCAATTTTATTTCTTGTTTTACGGATCCACCTTTTTCAAGAATAAGAAAAAAAATAAAAATTAATTTTCCCGCCCAAAAAATAAAATCCTAATGTTTTTATTGGCCAAAAATGTAAACTTACAAAAAAAAGTTTTTTTTAGATTATTTTTTACCCAATATACACTTCATAAATTGCCAAAAGTAAAATACTTTGACTATTTAGAAGGAATATGACGTTGAATGGTGATTTTATTTTCATTTTTTTGCCCTCCTGCCTTTAGGTTTTCTGAGGACAGAAATCCGTAAAACAAGAAATAAAATTGGTCTGGCCTGATCATAATAATATCCTTTATTCCATCTCAGGAATTGAGGACATAGCTGAGCAGCACGGACTTGAGGAGAATGTGGGCGTGGTGTCACTGGGAGGAGGAGCCAAGGTTGTCCAGCAGCTCACCAACGACTACGGAGCAGTCCGAGATGCTATAGGTCAGTAAGAGGCAAATCAGTTTAATGTGATGAAAGTAATACTGGTCCAACTGTGTACTGTTCATGTTCACATTAATTCCATGTTTTGACTGTTTCTCCTGTTACAGATGAGTTAGTATGTCACGGAAGAAGTCCAATGTTTGAAGCCCTCATGGTATGTGTGGCAGCCATAAAAGGACGGGGTATGATATTTTCTTTTTGGTTTTTTATGTGGTGAGATATGTTTTCCGATTTCAGGACTAGCGATTAATATCTATAAGAGTGTCACTGTCCTCCAGTTGTACTGATCATGTCGTCAATGTTGTGATTTGAAGCAATTTTTGTTAATACCGGTACATTGTCCACACATCTTTGTAAAGTTGTTTTCAGGTAGTATGCCATTGGAACTTCTAGTGAAACCCATTTGTGGCAACCAAACAGTTAGGTGTTACTTTTAGGTATTTAAGGCATACATGCACTCATTCTGTCTCTACTTTGAAGCAACAATGCAATGGTTCTGCATTTACAGCAGGTGGTTATGTTAGTCAGGCTGTCAGCACAGGGAACAAACTCACAATATCAGGACAATGTGATGCCAACATTCTTTGAGTACAAATTGTGAAATTGTAATAAAAATTGCCTTTGATAACCATCATAGTTGAAGGTGGACATATTGTAGGAACATTACAGCATGCTTTAAGTTCTGATGTTCACAAAGTTGGTCTGTCACTCTATCACCATGAGCTCATACTCCACTGTATTGACTGAAAGGTAAATGAAATACTTAGGGGTGATTTGTTGACTTATGTCACATAACTTGTTTAGGAGGTGTGCTGAGTGTTGGAGGTGCCCACAAGATACGCCCGAGGATAATCTTCATCACAGATGGCCGGGCTACTAATGAGAGTACTGAGACTGGACCTGACACTGCCTTAACAGATCATAACGTATGTAACCATAATGCCTTAACAGATCATAACGTATGTTACCGTAATGCCTTCCCAGCAGGCACATCAACGTTGTTTCAACGTTGAGAATAGGTTGATCCTCAACGTTGAAAATAGATTGAAAATAGGTTGTATATGAAAGTTTTTTTGACGTAGACATCCGACATGGAATCAACGTTGAAGTTTGACCGATTATCAACGTTGACAAAAGGTTGATCCTCAACGTTGAAAATAGATTGAAAATAGGTTGTATATGAAAGTTTTTTGACGTAGATATCCGACATGGAATCAACGTTGAAGTCTGACATATTCTTAACGTTGAAAATGGGTTGTTCCGTGGTTGTGTATTACGCTTTCCTGTAAATAGACTCGCATTTCATCTTTAAACTACAATAAAGTAGCACCAAACTCCTGCATCCAGCTAAAATACCCAAATAGCTACCTGCAATAAACAGTGTTCAAACAGAAAATTGCAGTAAAAATATTTACCTGATAAAATACTTGGTTAAAATTCCACATTCAATATAATGTTCATTTAAGTTTTATGTCAGTTGGACGTATAATTCCAGTTAGAAGAAAAGAGTATTCCAAATTAAGAAAAACTATTTACTGTTGTATTGTTACCTTGAAAAGTGGAAATCTCTCATATAATGAATTATGTGTGCGTATTATCTGCGACGTCATAACTATGCTTCTCTGAATCATGAACAATAAAATAATGAGATTAAACTCTACATTGCCAGAGATAATCTATCATACCATGAATAATAAGACATTGAATAACATCTCTTACAACTCCAATCTAAACTCAAAAAGACTTAAATGTACTCGTAAACAAACATCGCTGGCACACTCAAATTCTTGGAAACAGTGCATCTCTGACTCTCAATTCCAAGAAATGGAAGTCCTACTCTATTTGACCAAAGGGGTGACAGGTGGCCAAAACATATTGAAATGTAGGTCATACACTGAAAATAACTGATTTAAAACACTACAAATATACACCTTCTCTCTAATATACTCGATAGATGATCTTAACAAGGGAACATGTACATAAAATGCTGATATCTAACAACACCTGTACTTTAAATAAAGGACTCTTCCAAATCTCAGTATGTTTCACTGCACACATATTAGATTGCAAATAATGAAAAACCTACCCTTTGACAATAATAAAAAACATCATATTCAAATTCTACAGCTGACCAAATACCTGAAGAGTGTGTTTCCCAGCAATAAACATCTCTATATATCTATAAATGTATGACTTCTGTCCTCTCTGCTATCTTGCATCCAGCTGTTTACGGCTGAAAAACAATATGGCCAAGCAAGGGAGTGCTCATTAAACTATACATCTCCGGGAGAAATCATTGTCAATTTTTTCTCTTAAATGATCAACCTTAATATATAAAATGAAAATAAAGACCAACTATTATCACCAAAAAGACCAAACATTATCACAAATATTCAAAACAGGTGGTAATGAAAGAGCATTATCATCTTTCTCTTAAACTTTGTGGTGGATATACTGGAAACAAGTGAAATGTTAAAAACGTGTTACCTTAGCCTTGCTCCTTTTATGTGATCCACAAAATTGCTGCCACCCAGTCTTGAAGATGAGATTTCTGCAAATTCCATTAAAATAATCTTATTTCATAATTAAATGTTCCTTACATTAAAATTACTTCTTTTGTATGTAAGATTTTAACCTTTAAGAGACTTGAATTATCATATCCCTTCCAAACAAGTGTAAGAATGAAAGTCTGTGGGTGCAGTTTTGTTAATTGTCCCATCAAAGAATCATTAGTGAAGTTTTTCGTTGCATTTCCTTACGCCATTCTCCACCACCCCCTGACCCCAATAATATACATATGTTGACAGGGTTCAGGGCGTGCTCAATGCATCATTTACTGATAGATCTATTCAAACGAACAAATGTTCATAATAATGGGATGCAATATAAAATGTTGATTAATCCTATCCGATTTTGTATAGCTGCCCTTAGGGACCGATCATAATGTATGGCTTTGGGGTGATGTTGATTTTATGTACAATGTGAATTACCCCCTAAAGTGTATGAGTATGTACAGGATAAGAGACGGCCCACCCTGCATGTCATGTACATTATCTATGACGCCCTCTCCCTTCCCATAATTTCTAAACATAGTGCGTGTGTACAAAAATGCTGACCCCTTAGCTCCCTGAACAAAACCCTTATAATCAACACCCCCACCCGGGGTGTTTAATTTAATTAAGAACGGTTCCTTATATTGATGTACTTCATTGATTATTTGAAAATGTATATTTGCAAAATTCAAATCAGGTGATGGGTACTTATTCGATTATATAATAAAATGCAAAATATATGCATGCAAATATATTGAAAAATAACAAAAAGGTTCATGGAAAACACGGGCTTCCACTAAATTTTGATAAACATGTACTGTCACATACCGGTAACCTTGTTAGATAAAACATGAGCCCTAATTCGAGTTTCTTGCTACTGCTAGATTTAAACGGCATTCCTACGCTTTCATTATACATGAAGGACATACTTACCAAATAAACACCAGCATGCCGTGAAGATGGTGAAAATAGAACGATATTATGTTGAACTTCGCCAAAGTGAACTGACAACGCATCAGCTGCCTTTGCGCTGCGTCGCGATAATTGTGCGATGTCCGGATATGGCCAAACGAGGGGATCGAAAAGGTCAACATCTGGCTTGTGTTTGAAAGCAAATTGTCGGGAATTATACAATTTTCACAGTTTTGTGGGAAAATATCAAATGTAATGCAATTTGATAACTGATGACTTTATACCTAAAACTGCGATTTACGTAATATTTCCGTCCGTTGATCGATGCACAATCAAATAATATATAAGATTATATCTGTCACTAGCTCGATCTTGATCTTTTATGAAAATAATGTTCCGAAATGATAGTTGCTAAGTTGGATACCTATTACCAATATGAATTATGTATCAAATTTGCCAAGGAAACAATTAGTTGACATTTTGTTGGTTCCTTACGTTGAAACAACGTTGACAACTAAACGAATCTCGACTAACTTTCTTTGGTCGCATGATAAACGTTGAATCAACGTTTATGAAAGGTTGATCAACCAAACAACTAAAATTCAACGTTGATTCAACGTTGATTCAACGTTGTGTGCCCGCTGGGTTAAAGATCACATATACTCTAGGGGGCTACAAATACATGTGATAACTGGCATCGCTATAAATGAATCCCCGTCATTAAAACTACTCACTTCGGTCTTTAATTAGCTTAAATTGACCTTTTTGACAACAGTGCACAATTCTCACCCGCGAACGAAATTTCAACCAATCAGAGCGGGGCGTCTCTGTGACGTCATATGAGGAATAGATATGAGGGCCGATGCAGAATTCATCTACATTTCAGGGGGGTAAATTATCTTGTTTACAGGTTTGTATAAACCTGAAATCGTGACAACTGTAGTGGAAAATGAAAGCTATATGTTTTCACAATCTACTGTCATTTAATTTTGTCTCCTGCTTTGCCTAGTATTAGTTACAACTTGTTTTCATAGACGATTCTGTCAAAATCGCTTGGTGTCGTTAGGCCTTATTTGTATAATGACTGATCCAAGTTGATCCCATTTCTGTGTTTTTTTACCTCAATATTTAATCATGTCATGTAAAAATCTGTTTGTATTCTCAAAACAGTGTCGGCCCATAAGTTTTCACATGCAATACAGCAATTAATACTCCCTTGTAACCCGTGTTAGGTGGTATAAACCTACACATGTTATTTGTCATCATTCACTTGATGGTCAGTTAATGAATTTATAACAGGTATAATTAGTGGTAACACACCTAGATTACCCGACAAAGGTTCCCATTTGGCATTTCTTGTGTCTGGAGTAAATACTAGTATTCAACATTATAAACATCGATCAAAGGATTAACCGATAACACACTGATTGATTAATTACTTTTATTTTACACAGCGGATTTGTCAAAAGGTAGTGTTTATGTATGTAGATTTACTAATCTATACAATACACTCTGTCGTGTCGGTGTCTGCGTAAAAACAACGTCCTTCTTTCAAAGGATTAACCGCCAATACATTGATTGATTGCCCATTATTGGCTAACTAAATTACTGTTTTAAAGAAAGGCGGCCATTATGCAATTAGTTGCCAGGTGTGCTATCTTGGGTGACCAATGAGACTATACTCTAATGTGAAATACCTGAAAAGATTTATCACTTTTTTCGTATATTAAACTGTTAAAAGACACATCACTTGGAACAGCTGCAGATGAATGGCATATCACTCGTTTTTGTGGATATTGATGGATACATTCCTCGAACAAGGTAATAGCCTGACATTGTTCCTATAACTTTAATCTGTTTTAATTTTAATATTTGCATTTTGTTTTTATTCATTTGTCGTAGCATTCAACAGAATCATTGTTTTCGCCGTGAAGTGTAATGAGACAGACAACATACACTAGGGTGTGTGTGCGAATTATGATTCACATTGGCAAACTATAAAATGTCTAGATATTACAATTCTGTTATAAATTCACTATAAGTATCAGCAGATTGTCTGCTTTTTTATTTAGTTTCAAAATGCATACAAGTATGATAATAAACTAATTAGGATTATAAGACCAAATATAAAGACGTACATTGACTGGTCTCTACATACGGGTGAGTGGACATTAAAAATTTATCACGCAGTATTGTCACTTCGACCCCCACCTCGCTTCCGTGGAAGAAATCGTTATGTTACAAGTTGTGTCATGCAAAATCCTTTTGGTTATGATTCAAATACATATTTAACTACGAGTAGAAAGTAGTTTTGATTTTCTAACTTGATGAAAACAAACCATAATCTCATTAATTCTAACAGACTTTAGCCCGTGACTTTACGATTTTCAAAAATGGCGGCGCCCTGTCGCGAACATACGCCAGTCTGAGGATAAATGCTATTTAGGTTTGTTTTCACCGAGTTACGAAATCAAAACTACTTTCTACTGGTAGTAAAATATGTATTTGATTGATGGCCAATAGGATTTTGCATGACATAGCTTATAACATAACAATTTCTCTCGTGGCAGCGAGGTGGGTGTCAATATAATACTACTTACAATATTATTCATTTTTTTGTTACTTCGACCATAACCTCACTTCCGAGGAAGAAATCGTTATGTTACAAGTTGTGTCATGGAAAATCTTTATGGTCATCAATCATATACATATTTTACTACAACTAGTAAGTAGTTTTGATTCTTTAACTTCCATGAAGCGATCTGAACACAAGTAAGACATTGTTTCAGGCTTCCACAACGCTTGCTTCCCACTCACAAATATAACCCATTTAGCACGATCTGTGGGGTCCTGTGGAAATCTGTGAATGGTGACACCATCGCCCAACCCCTAGGAGCAATTGACGACAAAGCAACGATTCGGCATGTCGTCGATGATGTCGAGAAATCATCAAAATGATGAGCGTGCTACACACTTTCTATACAACTAACTGAAAATCGTTCCTCATATGACGTCACTGCAGTGCTCTGGCGACAGAGTTACCTAACCTGTCTGTGGTTTCGTTGGCGGGCGAGAGTGAAGCAGGCGACTTTTTGGCAACTTTTAATCGCTCGGTATTAATTAACAACAAGTTTTTTAAGAATGAATTTGGTGTTCCGCATAAGTCTAACCACAAATCTTTTATATGTAATAGTTAAAAGAGTAAAAAAAACCAAAGTTTATTTATTCTTTAACAGATCATAACGTATGTTACCATAATGCCTCAACAGATCATAACGTATGTAACCATAATGCCTCAACAGATCATAACGTATGTTATAATAATGCCTCAACAGATTATAACGTATGTAACCATAATGCCTCAACAGATCATAGCGTATGTAACCATAATGCCTCAACAGATCATAATGTATGTTATAATAATGCCTCAACAGATCATACTGTATGTAACCATAATGCCTCAACAGCTCATAATGTATGTTATAATAATGCCTCAATAGATCATAACGTATGTAACCATAATGCCTCAACAGATCATAACGTATGTTACCATAATGCCTCAACAGATCATAACGTATGTTACCATAATGCCCCAACAGATCATAACGTATGTTACAATAATGCCTCAACAGATCATAACGTATGTTACAATAATGCCTCAAGAGATCATAACGTATGTTACCATAATGCCTCAACAGATCATAACGTATGTTACCATAATGCCTCAACAGATCATAACGTATGTTACCATAATGCATCAACAGATCATAAGAGATCATAGCATTATGTTACCATAATGCCTCAACAGATCATAATGTATGTTACCATAATGCCTCAAGAGATCATAACGTATGTTACCATAATGCATCAACAGATCATAACGTATGTTGCCATAATGCCTCAACAGATCATAATGTATGTTACCATAATGCCTCAACAGATCATAATGTATGTTACCATAATGCCTCAAGAGATCATAATGTATGTTACCATAATTCCTCAACAGATCATAATGTATGTTACCGAAACATGTCCACAGATCATAAAATATGTTATCATAATGCCTCCACAGATAATTTTATATATCTGTAAATGTAAATGCTTCCAGGTCATACAGACAGGTGCATACAGGTTCCAGGTGAAAGAGTGGAAATAATATCTTTTGAAAAGTATTTTCCCTGGAAATGTTTTACCTTGGGTATTTCTTCCAATGGACGGAGTCTCCAGGGGGAATAAATATCAGCGATATATGAAACTGGTATATGTCATACTGACAATTTAAATTTGACACTGTCAAATAAGTCAAAAGTTTACTTTGAGGAGTTTAGACTTTCTGTTGTACTTATATATTTAATTTTCAGACTAAAATCCGGTTGATTCAATTAGTGAGTGAGATGTCTCCCAAGAAACACAGTACAACTCCACATCCTGTTGTATGGGTCCCTGTTGGAGATGCTGACAATGTAGGCATTATTTCATGCACTCCTTAAACGTTTTGCTATAATTATTTCTGTTTTATGTCATGTAGTATCTTGTCAGTAACCAGACCATTTAACCATCTCAGTACCATGATTGTCATGACTTGGTGTTAAAGTCCAGCTCAGAATAGACTGACAGCTAAAGGAATATTGCTTCAGTATTTTCAACAGGCTAGCTTCACAATAATGCATCTTATACTTCCTCTTGTACACATGTTGGAATTACTTTAACAATCGTTTACACTTTCCATAGGGTTTCCTTTCATCACTTTCAAAACTTGGCTCCGGGAATATCATCGAAAGCAAGAACATCAAAAATCTGTGTACCTACTACAGGGTAGAGGTAACTGTCTAACTACATCCTTAAGGCTGAGCTGTAGATATGACCATTCAGACTGTGATGTAGCTGGTAACAATTATTCATTTACCCAGAGTTACAGATAACTTTGGAGTTATGTACTCACTTGTGTTCATCTCATTTGGGTATCCTTATTTTTTTGAGTAACCAAATAAATTATACCCACCTCACTCAAACTCAATTGGGTATTTTGCCATTTCGCATTATTTGTGAAAATAGAATAATATCTAAATGTTGACTTATGTGTGTGTTATTTATATTTGATCTGTAATATGAGAAAAGATAAGAAAGACTGCAAGTTGCCAAGTTCATGTGCTGAAATAGAACCTCACAATATATCTCAGTTATTCTATCTATCCCCAGTAACCTCCATATGTAGCACATGGGTCTACTTACTTCAAATTCTAGTAGGTTTGCTGAATGTTACAGTACGCAAGCTAGGATTTGACATTTTGTGTGTACGCATATAAGATCAAATTTATTAAGTATTTACAAAATTCAAGTGTACTTGTACGCAATAGACTTAATAGGAATTGAGTTTTCACATGAATATTTGCATAATTTACGCAGATACGCAGCTTATCTGTACCTCTGTTTACCAGTAAGTATATTCTGTTCTAGTACTGGAAAAATGGTTCTGTTGAAACTGTCAGTTGTTGAGTACTTATATATATGTATCAGGTAATTACACAGGCGTATGTATATGGAAATATCAGGTATAAATGCTGGTCATGTATGCACAAAAAACTATATATTCACTGTAATTGCATGAAATTTGCTTCATATCATAGGTTGGGGCATTACATTGGTGAGATAGTGAGCATCATTTATTGAAGGTGTAGGTAAATTCTTAAGTTAGTCAAGCAAGAACTGATCAAGCATGTGATTGATTCAAGGTCACTGAACCATGAATGCACATATAAATATGCGACCAAACCTTTTCGACATCCATAAGAAATCTCTACGAAAAGCAAAGTGGATTACACAATTCGACCTACGTCATGAGCTTGTGTCTATGACTAGACAGGAGCATATCCTGCTCTACAGTCTTAAACATAGAACCATGTTTTTAATGTAGCCTCAATGAAATAATTATTTATCAATGTCTTGCATAACATTGCCATTTTACCAGTTATGTGGTGTTTCGTTTGTCTTTAAATGAAAAGCATGTTGATGTTGCTAGAGAAATTGGATTATCTTTTATCAAGTTACTCATGTATTTCCTTCAACCAAGAGTATTTGCAGTACAATTTTATTAAGGTAGCAAGACAAAACTTTCTTTTAAATGTTGGCTCACATTAGACATGTGTTTTCCCAAACTGGAAGTAAAGGCATTAGTCCAAGAGCCATATTGAGGTAGATTAGCACAGGACTTTTCTGTTTTAAAGTTGTTCTGCATTGGGCACTATTAAAGACACTTCATCATTTGAGATACAGTCAAGTTGTAACACATTTGGATGTTTTTATTCAAGCACTAAAACTGAAAAAGGTATACTTTTGGTTAAAGAAAGGCTCAGAAAATAATTTTGAAACTTCTGTGTCAGAACACCAGGCGCAGAGAACAAAACTTCATGAAAATGCTTGTATATGATTAAGATGTGAAAGAAAAAACATTCATCTGAAAGACTCATGGCAAATTCACAAGAATATGTTTTGTTGTTGCTTAATTATAAAGGAAAACATAGGGCGAATCTTCATGTGTGTCATGAACAACTCTGGAGACTGGAGTAACCTGGATGAAGCAATCGAGGCCGTTGCAGAGGCCTTCATTGGAGACATGAATCCAGAGGAAAAGGTACACAACTTGCTGACTCCATAAACCATGTAAAATATGGTGCAACACTAGTACACTACTATACCATTACCCTGGTTATCTCTACAACACTAGTACACTATTATACCATGACGATGGTTATATCTACAGCACTAGTACACTATTATACCATGACCCTGGTTATATCTACAGCACTAGTACACAATTATACCATGACCCTGGTTATATCTACAACACTAGTACACTATTATACCATGACGATGGTTATATCTATAACACCAGTACACTATTATACCATGACCCTGGTTATATCTACAACACTAGTACACTATTATACCATGACGATGGTTATATCTATAACACCAGTACACTATTATACCATGACCCTGGTTATATCTACAGCACTAGTACACAATTATACCATGACCCTGGTAATATCTACAGCACTAGTACACTATTATACCATGACCCTGTTTATATCTACAGCACTAGTACACAATTGTACCATGACCCTGGTTATATCTACAGCACTAGTACACTATTATACCATGACCCTGGTTATATCTACAGCACTAGTACACTATTATACCATGACCCTGGTTATATCTACAACACTAGTACACTATTATACCATGATGATGGTTATATCTACAACACTAGTACACAATTATACCATGGCGATGGTTATATCTACAACTCTAGTACAAAATTATACCATGACCCTGGTTATATCTACAACACTAGTACACAATCTTACCATGGCGATGGTTATATCTACAACACTAGTACACAATTATACCATGACGATGGTTATATCTACAACACTAGTACACTATTATATCTACAACACTGGTGCGCACTGTTATACCATGGCGATGGTTATATCTACAACACTAGTACACAATTATACCATGACGATGGTTATATCTACAACACTAGTACACTATTATACCATGACGATGGTTATATCTACAACACAAGTACACAATTATACCATGACCCTGGTTATATCTACAACACTAGTACACTATTATACCCTGGTTATATGACCCTGGTTATATCTACAACACTGGTACACTATTATACCATGACGATGGTTATATCTACAACACTAGTACACTATTATACCATGACCCTGGTTATATCTACAACTATTAGTACAAATTATACCATGACCCTGGTTATATCTACAACACTAGTACACAATTATACCATGACGATGGTTATATCTACAACACTAGTACACAATTATACCATGACGATGGTTATATCTACAACACTAGTACACTATTATACCATGACCCTGGTTATATCTACAACACTAGTACACTATTATACCATGACGATGGTTATATCTACAACACTAGTACACTATTATACCATGACGATGGTTATATCTACAACACTAGTACACAATTATACCATGACCCTGGTTATATCTACAACACTAGTACACTATTATACCATGACCCTGGTTATATCTACAACACTAGTACACTATTATACCATGACGATGGTTATATCTACAACACTAGTACACTACACTTATACCATGACCCTGGTTATATCTACAACACTAGTACACTATTATACCATGACCCTGGTTATATCTACAACACTAGTACACTATTATACCATGACCCTGGTTATATCTACAGCACTAGTACACTATTACCATGACTGGTTATATCTACAACACTAGTACACTATTATACCATGACCCTGGTTATATCTACAGCACTAGTACACTATTATACCATGACCCTGGTTATATCTACAGCACTAGTACACTATTATACCATGACCCTGGTTATATCTACAACACTAGTACACTATTATACCATGACCCTGGTTATATCTACAACACTAGTACACTATTATACCATGACGATGGTTATATCTACAACACTAGTACACAATTATACCATGACCATGGTTATATCTACAACACAAGTACACAATTATACCATGACCCTGGTTATATCTACAACACTAGTACACTATTATACCATGACAATGGTTATATCTATAACACCAGTACACTATTTTACAATGACGATGGTTATATCTACAGCACTAGTACACTATTATACCATGACCCTGGTTATATCTACAACACTAGTACACTATTATACCATGACCCTGGTTATATCTACAACACTAGTACACAATTATACCATGGCGATGGTTATATCTGGTAACTTATACCATGGCGATGGTATATCAAACTCTGAGCACAAAATTATACCATGACCCTGGTTATATCTACAACACTAGTACACAATCTTACCATGGCGATGGTTATTTCTACAACACTAGTACACAATTATACCATGACGATGGTTATATCTACAACACTAGTACACTATTATACCATGGCGATGGTTATATCTACAACACTAGTACACAATTATACCATGACGATGGTTATATCTACAACACTAGTACACTATTATACCATGACGATGGTTATATCTACAACACAAGTACACAATTATACCATGACCCTGGTTATATCTACAACACTAGTACACTATTATACCATGACCCTGGTTATATCTACAACACTAGTACACTATTATACCATGACGATGGTTATATCTACAACACTAGTACACTATTATACCATGACCCTGGTTATATCTACAACACTAGTACACTATTATACCATGACCCTGGTTATATCTACAACACTAGTACACTATTATACCATGACCCTGGTTATATCTACAGCACTAGTACACTATTATACCATGACCCTGGTTATATCTACAGCACTAGTACACTATTATACCATGACCCTGGTTATATCTACAACACTAGTACACTATTATACCATGACCCTGGTTATATCTACAACACTAGTACACTATTATACCATGACGATGGTTATATCTACAACACTAGTACACAATTATACCATGACGATGGTTATATCTACAACACAAGTACACAATTATACCATGACCCTGGTTATATCTACAACACTAGTACACTATTATACCATGACAATGGTTATATCTATAACACCAGTACACTATTTTACAATGACGATGGTTATATCTACAGCACTAGTACACTATTATACCATGACGATGGTTATATCTACAGCACTAGTACACTATTATACCATGACCCTGGTTATATCTACAGCACTAGTACACTATTATACCATGACCCTGGTTATATCTACAGCACTAGTACACTATTATACCATGACGATGGTTATATCTACAACACTAGTACAATATTATTATACCATGACCCTGGTTATATCTACAACACTAGTACACTATTATACCATGACGATGGTTATATCCATAACACCAGTACGCTATTTTACAATGACGATGGATTTATATCTACAGCACTAGTACACATTATTATACCATGACCCTGCTTATATCTACAGCACTAGTACACTATTATACCATGACCCTGGTTATATCTACAACACTAGTACACTATTATACCATGACCCTGGTTATATCTACAACACTAGTACACTATTATACCATGACGATGGTTATATCTATAACACCAGTACGGCTGTTTTACAATGACGATGGTTATATCTACACAGCACTAGTACACTATTATACCATGACCCTGGTTATATCTACAACACTAGTACACTATTATACCATGACGATGGTTATATCTATAACACCAGTACGCTATTTTACAATGACGATGGTTATATCTACAGCACTAGTACACTATTATACCATGACCCTGGTTATATCTACAGCACTAGTACACTATTATACCATGACCCTGGTTATATCTACAGCACTAGTACACTATTATACCATGACGATGGTTATATCTACAACACTAGTACAATATTATTATACCATGACGATGGTTATATCTACAGCACTAGTACACTATTATACCATGACCCTGGTTATATCTGCAACACTAGTACACTATTATACCATGACGATGGTTATATCTATAACACCAGTACGCTATTTTACAATGACGATGGTTATATCTACAACACTAGTACACTATTATACCATGACCCTGGTTATATCTACAGCACTAGTACACTATTATACCATGACCCTGGTTATATCTACAGCACTAGTACACTATTATACCATGACCCTGGTTATATCTACAACACTAGTACACTATTATACCATGACGATGGTTATATCTACAGCACTAGTACACTATTATACCATGACCCTGGTTATATCTACAGCACTAGTACACTATTATACCATGACCCTGGTTATATCTACAGCACTAGTACACTATTATACCATGACGATGGTTATATCTACAACACTAGTACACTATTATACCATGACGATGGTTATATCTGCAGCACTAGTACACTATTATACCAGGACCCTGGTTATATCTACAGCAATATTACACTATTATACCATGACCCTGGTTATATCTACAACACTAGTACACAATTATACCATGACGATGGTTATATCTATAACACCAGTACGCTATTTTACAATGACGATGGTTATATCTACAGCACTAGTACACTATTATACCATGACCCTGGTTATATCTACAGCACTAGTACACTATTATACCATGACCCTGGTTATATCTACAACACTAGTACACTACTATACAATTACCCTGGTTATCTCTACAACACTAGTACACTATTATACCATGACGATGGTTATATCTACAGCACTAGTACACTATTATACCATGACCCTGGTTATATCTACAGCACTAGTACACTATTATACCATGACCCTGGTTATATCTACAACACTAGTACACTATTATACCATGACCCTGGTTATATCTACAACACTAGTACACTATTATACCATGACGATGGTTATATCTATAACACCAGTACGCTATTTTACAATGACGATGGTTATATCTACAGCACTAGTACACTATTATACCATGACCCTGCTTATATCTACAGCACTAGTACACTATTATACCATGACCCTGGTTATATCTACAACACTAGTACACTATTATACCATGACCCTGGTTATATCTACAACACTAGT